GACTCTGAGGGCGTGGAAAGGACCCCCATAGAGGCTGGAGCAGAGGGGGTAGCCCCTTGGGATGGTGCCCGTGGAAAAGAGGCTGACAGGGACACTGGTGGGCATTGAGTGTCCAGGTGGCCCTGCCATGAGAACTGATCCACGCTCAAAATGTAATTTGACAACAACGTAGAGGAAAAGATCTGTGGTGGAAGAAGACCCCTGGAACCCTCTCCCCAGCCCCATAATCTAGTCTTTGGGGGCAGCTGGAGGGGCGGTGTGACCACAGCGCCATCGCACTGTTGCGTTTTCTTTCTCTTGTGGTCTCTGGCCCAGGACTTAGGATAAAAGGGAAATTCGGAGCCCAGAATACATACTTTAAGGACGTACACGGGCAGAGGGCAGCGCAGGGGACCGCCGGCTGTGGGGACCTTTTAGGACCCTGCAGCCTGCGAGGTTCGCCTCCGGCTCCGCCCACGTCTTGGAGGAAGCGGGAAGGCAGGCTTTTGAGTGACATTCCTTTCCTTTAAAAGTAACCAAAAAAGCCCAACAAAAATCCTTTAATAGTAATTTTGGGAAGGAATATTACGGATAAGAAGGGGGGGTGGGGTGGAAAAAGACCTCAATGCATTGGCCGGGAATCGAACCCGGGCCTCCCGCGTGGCAGGCGAGAATTCTACCACTGAACCACCAATGCTCTGGTTGTTCAGGTTCTGCCAAAGTCACCCTGGTAGTTGGGCATTGGGCGGCGCCTTGTTTGACGCTTACCCTACGGCTGTGAAGGTTCCTTCTGAATTCTCTGCTAGCTTGTGAGTGCCGGGGTTCAGCAAGGGACACTAGAATGTTACTGAAGTCCGAGGCTCTTCAGCTGGGGGTCTGCCCTGACCCCTGGCCCTCCTGACTCTGGCCATGTGGCGGCTGCTTTTTGCCTGGACAGTGAGTGCACACGCTCTGCCGCCCTGGCTCACTTTTCTCACTGAGCATGGGCCTCGATGACCAGCCTCAGCATCATCATGTGCCCACCCAGACCTCCTGGAGCCTAGAGGTGAAGTGGGGGAGTGGAACTGCCCCCCTCCCGGCCTTGGGCACCCTGCAAGATGAAGGGAAAGGGGCTAGACCCTTACAGAACTGTCCCGTATCATCCCATAAGCTCCCATAGGCCTTGCCCCCTGCCATTCCAGAGGGGCCTGAGCTGGGAGCACAGACAGAAGCACCAGAGCACACAGTGTGAGACCTCTCTAGACCCTGAGACCAGAGCGCCTGAAGCTGTCCCCTCACTGGGCCTTTCTGCTCATGCCAGGATTCCTGTTATCCTTCCAGGCACCAGCCAGCTAGAATGCCTGGGTGGGTGAAAAGGGGACGCCAGCAAGGCATCCTTCCTCCAAGGCCTGGAACCGGGTTGGTGGCCTGGAGGGAGGATAAAGGGACTAGTGGAGAGAAGAAGTGAGGGAGATGGCCCGGAGCCGTGGAGGAGACTAGTGGAAAGAGATGTTGAGAGTGGGGAGAGGTGGCCCAGGGCAGGTGACCTGGGGAGAAGGGGACTAGGGGGAGAGGGGGCCCAGGGCAGGAGTGGGGCACGTGGCTTGGGGAGAGGGGGCCCAGGGCGGGAGTGGGGGAGATGGCCTGGGGAGAGGTGGCCCAAAGCAGGAGTGGGGCAGGTGGCCTGGCCCCAGCGTAAGCCTGCAGAACTGTGTCCTGGCGAGTCCTACAGTAAGACTAGAGGCTCCCACAGCCCCACTGGGGCTTTGGACAACTTAACTCTCCCTGTCATCTTTTGCCAGACTAAAATCCAGAGGTCAGCAGTGCCAGGGGCTTGGTTCCTCTGGTGCACTCTGGAGTGGGCGGCTGATCCAGCCCTGATGGCCGGGAACCTGCTGGCATTCATCCCCTCTTGTTGCTGGGGCCAGCTGCAAGGTGCCCGTATCAGCCAGGCCGGCAGAAGCTGATTTTCAGGAACTTTGTCAACCATCTAACTGTGGTCTCTCAGAGTGACCCTTGCAAGTCCTAGGGGCTTTTCTCTAGAGAATCCTGAGCTAGGGTTGCCGACCTGTTTGCCCAAGTTAATCTGGGGCTGGCAGGGACTCTGGGCCTGTCCTGTGACCCTGTGTCTCCTCTGCAGTAACCATGACCTGGACCATGAGCTGCACAGGAAGGACGTGCTGGCCAGGTGGGTGCATGCCCCTTCCGTCCTCTGAGTGGCGGTGGGGACGCTGAGCCTGATGTCCCCTCTGCGTCGCCCTGTAGGCTGTATGAACACCAGAGGATCCCTCCTCTCAAAAGCCGTGTGCCTGTCAAGATCCGGAGGACCCACACGGGCATGGGAGTCAAGGGCAGCCCCAGCCCGCACAAGGTCCCCAGGAGCGGCCACGCGCCAGTCCAGCGTACTCAGCGTGAGTGGGAGCGTGGCCTCGCCCGCCAGCTGGGGGCGGGGGTCCCCTGGGAGCCCAGGCCTGGCCTCCACCCTGGCCCCTCTCGTGACAGTCTGCACTGAGGACCTGCACGCCATCACTGGGGAGCTGAGGCAGATCAAGGCTCGAGTGGACAGCCTGCTGCAGAGCCTGGAGCACATAAGGCAGCGCGGTGCCCCGGCGGCAGGTCAGACACCCCCGGGTGGCCAACGCACGGCGTCCGACCTGTGCCTCTCCCGGAGCTGAGGGACCTGGGGGCGGCCTCGGCCTGTCCGCTCTTCCCTCACCCTCTCAGCTGGATCCCTCTGACCACTGTTGTGGATCCTTGTGGTGTCTGAGGCGTCCCAAACCACCCCCTCCTGGCCTCCTTAAGTGTCCCTCATCCGTCTAGGCGTCAGTGTCTTTTCAAAGGTCAGCTAGGACCTCCCAGCCTGGCCACTGACCAGCAATTCTCCCAACACAGGGACGGAGGACAGTGACATGAAAGGTCCTGGGAGCGAGGGGTCTTCGTGTGGAACCACAGAACCCCGAGGTCAGGGGGCTGCCGCAGGGGTGCACAGGTCCGAAGGCTCCGGCGAAGAGCAGTGAGTGAATGCCCTCCCTGCTTGTTTGATCCTGTCATCTCAGGGGGTTTGCACAAGGGCCCACAGAGGTGCCTGAGGGAGCTGTGCAGAGGGGCTTCCAAGATGGCCCTGGGATTTTTTTTTTTCTCAGCTCTGGGCAGCAGGGCAGCTGGGCCCTGAAATACTGACCCCCTCCTGGAAGGTGTGGGTAGGGAGGTGTGTGTGCAAGTAGACACCAGCGGGGGGCATCACAGGTGTGCCTCCCACAGAGCCTTGCCTGAGAAGCACCGGGTTACCTTTGGCGCCGGCTTCTGTTTCCTCCATCCAGGCCTGTGGGCACTTGCATGGTACCTGCCCTCCAGGAGAGCAGCATGCTCATCTGCCTGGAGGGCGAGTGGTTGGTAGACACACCTTGGGTGGCTTTAAAGGGTGGACCATCTCCTGCACCCTCCTCTCCCCTGTGTGGTGGTCCTGGGAAGAGACCCAGCCCTCATTACTTGGGGGCCTGGCATCACACACACCACCCAGCTCTGCCTCCTCTGCTGGACTAGGCCCTTCTCTGTCCAGGGCTGGTGTCACATCTCCAGAAAGCTCTCCTTGGGCTGGTGGCTCCTAGTTCCTCAGGCAGAGCTGCCCAAGGCTCCCAGGACCCAGCCTGAAGGATGATGAGACAGGTGCACTCAGAGCACCTCTTTCATCACAGGTGAAGTCACTGTTGGCTAGGAACCGTTCTGTTTTCTTGAAAGCCCTTTAGTGGCCATCACCCAGAGTGCTGGATCTCACCAGCCTAATTGGGCCCAAGCTTTGATGTCTCCAGGCAGTCCTGGGACTGGCAGGATCAGGGAGGAGCCTCAGACTTCCAGCACCAGGTTACCTTCCTCAAGAAGCCACAGCCATCTCACAAAGGGCAGCTGGACAGGGTTCCCTCTGCTGTTTCAGCTGCTCTCTTCCCCTGCTCACGACCTACGATGCCCTGCCCTGGTTTAAGCTCCGTGGCTGACCACCCTCTCCAGCCACAGCACACACAGGAAGAACCGTGTCCTGCAGTCTCCCTCCCACCACCCTTTTGGTTCAGCTTCCCTTCAGAACCAGTGTACTTTTATGTACTGTCTCCCACTGGTGGTGTATGATGTATTTTAGATCTGCTCTGGAAAACTGTATGTCAGAAAGGGGCAAAGTAAAATGAGGGTTATTTTTTTGTCAGGAGTTCCTGATGTCCTCCTCATCCTGGGCCCTACACTCCTCCAGAACCAGCCGTCCCCAGAGAAGCTGAGCAGATTCCCGAGACCCAAGTTTGGAACCTCTCAGCAAGCTGGGTGCAGAGGGGACGGGGCCACAGTGGTTCTCAAGGGCAGGCTCGCTGGGCTTCCTCCAGTCCAGACCCAAGCATAAACCCGGAGGCCCTGAGAGCCTCCCCACCCCTCGGTAAAGCTGCCCACCCGGCTGAGGACTGCCCTGGCCCCACACAGCTCTCCTGCTGCCTCCGGAGCTTCTCCGACGCACATTTCCCCACCACCACACCTTACAGCTGCTTCTGGTACTTCAACCTACATCCTGTCCTCACGTGGGGGGCAACCAAGGCATTGACCATCAGAGCAATGGCACCAGGGGCCCAAAACCCTACCCCACCCATTCAGAAAAGCCTTAAGGCCCATATCACAAAGAACAAGAGAAAACGTGGCTCATCAGTTTTCTTCTTTCAGTGTGTAAGAAGGAACAGTCCCTGCGTCCCTCTTCTCAGGAGGGTCAGCAGGAGGCCCCGGTGGGTCTGTGTGAACTGGGTCCCTCTCTTAGAGTACAACTGGTCAAGTCTAGGCTCCAAGATGCAGCCGATGTCCTTTCCAACTTGGAATCAGGCTGAATAAACAGTTTTCATTAAGGTGGTCGCGGCTCAAGCATTACAGCTTCCCTTCCGGAAGGTCCTTCCGCAAAGGCTGTCCAGGGCATCGCTGTTGTGGAAACTCGGCCCTGGCCGGACGTGATGTCCGGTGCGGTGCTCGGTTCTCGGCCCGGGGAGTCTGGTCTTTGGGGCGATGGTGGCCCGGTCCTGCTAGGACGCGGTGGCGGCGCCCCTCTGGCGGGCGGCCCGCACCAGGCACCGCTGCAGCACCGGGTAGAGGCGCTGGCAGCCCTCCAGGCCCAGGCGCACGGCCTCGGCCCAGCTGTCGGCGGGGCCGCCCTCCCCGCTGCCCAGCAGCCCGGCCACCTGGTTGAGCACCGGCATGAGCGCCACGGTGAGGCCGGCGGCCGCGTGCTCCTCCTCCAGCCGCGTGGGGTCCAGGAGCCAGGCCGGCGAGGGTCCGGGCCCCAGGCTCAGGCCGCAGCCCACCACCAGGTCGTACATCTCCACGCCGGCGTCGGCCAGGGCGAGCGCGGCGGCCGTGAGCGCGGCGGCCAGCGCCGAGCCGCCGTCCTCCAGCAGCAGCGCCGACACCTCGAGCTGCGCGC